GTGTAGATGGGCCGTGGGTGAAGTCCTGGTGGGATGTCAAGTCAACGTTCTGAGGTCTCGGGGTCTTTCCTGCAAGACCAAACTCTCAGTCATCAAGCACCAGCCAAGTTTCAAGGTATATACATATTTTATTTTAAAAAAAGTTTACAGTTCTTTAATTATACACAACTATTGGAGAGGTTATACTCTTAAAGAGGCATTTTGTCAGGGTGGCAGATGCGCCCACTACATCAACAACGCAAGAAAAAGAGGAGGAAAAAAAATAAAACAAAGACAAGAAAAAATAGCAATAAAGAGCCGACTCCAAGGAAGGGCAGAACCCCCCGGATCTCTTCAAGTATCACGCGACAGGTACCAAACACGGGCACGAAACCCCGGCCGTTTCTCACGCTGCCAACACCCCCGCTAAAGTGCCAGCAGAACTCGGACGAGCGAAAAAAGCAGCAAAAATAAAAAGAGCAAATTGTCAAAAACCACCTCGCGGCGTTCCCGACGGTCTGCGAGGAGGGTCCCTGCCGACGGACGACACTCGCCGGGCGGGGATGGGGAGGGAGCCCCGTTTCTCCAGCACGTGTTAAGGGATGGGTGGACACACAAGGTGGGTTGGGGATCAACCACGGTCATGGTGGAGGCTGGAGGATGAGCTGGTGCCGTACCAGGCTGATGGCAAAGCTCCGCTCCAGCCTGTCCCCGTGCCAACATCCTTCTGCATCCGCCAAACCCACCGGTGGGTGAGGAAAAACTCGGCACGGAGGGTCAGCACCCGGCCCCGAGTGCCACCGCTGAGGGACGCAGCCACTCACACAAAAACCCTCGAGGGCAAAAGGAGGAGAGGACCTGAAGCCAAAGGTTGTTTCCAAAACAATGCCAAGGGGCTGGTGGCAAGTTTTGGTGGCGGGGAACTCAACCCGGGGTCCATCACAGGCTGGCTGAGATACTCCCATCGCCCCGACAGAGCACAAGGTGACACCACCACTGTCTTCTGAAGAAGGAAAAAAACCCAAAACCCTCAAGATGACCTAAAAAAAAATAATAAGAGCTATCTTGCTTCAACATGGCTCCACCTTTTCTTCCAGACCATGTAGGTGTAGCTTTATTTACAAACTGTTTGGGGGGGGAGGTTTCTTTTGGGAGAAAGAGGGAGATTTGGGGAAAAAGAAGAAAATAGTAAAAATTGATGGACCTGCAGAGCGGACCTCCATCCAGCTCATCTCCTAGATGCAGCTTACATCCAGGACAGACCTTTTTTTTTTTTTCTTTTTTTTCTTTTTTTCTCCCAAGCAGCATTTTGGCAGCCGGGTTTTCCTCCGTCACCGGGCACAGGGCAACCCTCCGTGCCAGGGTGGTGAGTTTTGCCACGGCTCGGGAGCGCCAGGGACACAGGTTTTTGTGGCTCTAGACCCACCGAGCCACCAGCCAGCACGGCTTGGACAAGCTCCACGTCCTCGTGCCCCGCTCAGGAGTTGGCCCAGGCAAACTGCGGCTTTACCCCGGTATATTTTAATTTTTTTTTTTTTGATGCCCTAAATCCGTGTTAGAGGATGGAGTGATGGGGAAGAAAAACCTGCAAAGGAAGGGGGATGAGGTAATTAGAACACTGTTTTTATACAATATTGAAAAAATACAAATTTTTATTGTGATTTTTTTTTTTTTTTTAATCTTTTAAACTGATATCACCACCCAGCACTTAACTCTACTCCTAAGTAGCACCTACAGTAAAGGTTATAGCACGAGCAAACTGCCAGCTCAGCAGGTAAGCAAGTTAAACAGTGCCAGCCAAACGTGGCCCCTCCCTCCCCAAATTAATGAGAAAACCAGCGTGCTAGATAAGAGTTAAGTACACCATTACATGTTAAATAGTTAATATTACCCTTCCAACAAGCCACAAATGCTAGATAGAGAACTTCAGCACAGTCACTAGCCACAGCCCTAACATTACTGCTTTAAAATGAAAAGGGAAAAAGGAGAGGAAAAACCTTTGCTTCATGCCCATAATTAACATAAATGAAATCCTTTGTAGATTTTTTTATTAAGGAAAAAATCATGCTAAAGCAAAGTGGTACTTTAGGAGGTTTGGTGGTTTGTTTTTTTTCTTTTTACCCCAAAAGGAAAAAAATAAATTGATTGTGCTTTATGAACTCGAAATAGGATTGTAACCTTCCAACCCCAATGACTCAAAACTTGGTGGCGTTTCTAAAGGAAAAGAAACAAAAAAAGAAAACCACAATATTCTGGGAAAATGACAAATGAACCAGTCTGACATTCAAAACTCTGCTCCAGAGTTGCTCAGGGTGGGTTGATTTTTCCATGCGCTGTCCTGTAGGTCGCACCACAAATTCAAACATTGTGTCCAAACCCCTCCAAAAACCCAAAAGAATACAGCAGGTGACATTCAGCTTTAAAAATCCATCTTAGTTTGAATCTCCAATGCACAATTATCTGAATTCAAGTATCCCGGCATCCCAGGTAGACATTTACTGTATCAGATTTTGTAGCATTCAAACAAATAAACAAAAATATCTCAGCTTGCCGAAAGACATCAGGAGAAATCAAACATTTCAATTCAGAAGCATCCTGGAAAAAAAAAAAAAAACAACGAAACCAACAAAACAAAACAGAGCAGATTCACTTGCTTCTTCAATTGGTGCTTTTAGGCTTTTTTTTTTTTTATTCATCTCAATTTTTTTTTCTAGCTCATATTCTTTGTTAACTTTGAAGAAATTTTAATCCTGTTGTACACACACAAGCAGATGGTTACCGAGCTGGTGCAGAAGGGGCGGGGGGGGTGGGAAAGCAAAGGAAAAGAAAATCAGTGCCGATGGATTCGTGGACTACAGCCAGCGGGTCGATCTTCGTGGATCTGAAGCTCTCAGCAAGGCTAATCCATCTGGTCAGAGGACCCTCTTAGGAGATGGAGAGTGTTTGCGAGGTGTTTAACCATACTTCAAGCAAGAGGGTGGGGGGGGAAATAAAAGAAAAAAAAAAAAGCAAACTCGTAGCCATTAAAGGGCAGCAGTTTCAAAACTATGACAAAGTAAGAGTTTGACTTCACAGGTGCTCCAGCTAAATCAAAGCACTGTTCAGAGAGCATCGTTTGTGGTTGTTTTTTTTTTTTTTCTCCCAAAAAGGGAACAGCTCGTAATCCAGCCCAAGAAAGTGAATAACATCCAGATGAAGGCTTCCAAAAGTCCCAAAAGCAAATAGACCAGTGGTTGTCAGTCCCTACAGTTCAGGAGGGCAGGCAGGAGTCCACATATAAAAACGGACTTAAAATCCAAGTCAAAATTTTTAAGCTTCAATGCTCTGAATAGCTCCATGCATTTGTATTGTTTGTGGTTTTTTATTTTTTTTTTCCTTTTTTTTTTTAAATGTGACTCCACATAAAATACGATCAGCAAGGTTGACCTGAAGGAGCACCTTTTATTCCACTGTCTGATCTACACACGGTTAGTAAATCATCCCCCAGATTTTACACTTTGCGAAAACGCTGTTCCACGTTAGCATCCAAGGTGGTGTCTTTGGAAACATCGATCAGAAAGCAAACATCTTTTTTTGCTAACTCCCTACCTACCAGGGCAGCTGTTTTAGCTGACAGTTCAGTAGCACACAAGTTGACTTGGCCAAATGGAATCTGAATGCATGCATTCGGGCTGCATATTGCTACCAAAATGGAATGTGGGAATATGCTATGCACCTCGGGTTCGAGAAATGACCAAGAAAAAAATCAAGATCTAAAGGGTGATATATATATCTCAATGCTATTATTCATAAAAACCTTGTTTAGTAATAAAAAAAATTGCTTTGTTTAAATATGAATATTATAGTCTGCTTCTCATGGTTAGGAAATTAGAGTCTCTCTGAAAAGCAGGTTGCCTCTTTTACTACAACTCCATATCCTGAGCCTCATCTTCCGAGAAGTCGGACATGGAGCTCTCAGATGAGCTGTCCCCGGTGCCTTCTTCCTGTTCTTTTAGTGCTTCTTCTGTTGCATATTTCTGAATGTACTCTGTGTGTGACAGAAAAGAAGAGACATGTAAGTGGCAGATATTCAACAGGCAGAGGATGAGCGAACCGCAACCAACGGCTGGTTGGGTCGCATCGTGGTCGATAAATCATACAGATGATCACATTTCTCAGGCAGCACTGTCCAACAACGCGTGCGAAAACAGCTGACAGAGACCTCGGAGATGTGCAAGATCCTTGAAAACAAGTATGATCCCAAAGCTCCTGTATCAGTGTCATGCACACTCAGAGCTGGAAACAACCTAAGTCCTTCCCAGTTTGGTGTATCTCACCAGATAGGATTCAATTTACTGCCAAAACCAGGAGCTACCGTGGTGACACAGAGACCAAGTGGAAAAGCCATCGAGATGTCACCATAGAGCCTGACTCTCAGAAACGAAGACCTGAGAGTTTAAACCGACAGGGCAGAACAACCATCACTGAAGCCAAGCTGAGAGCCAGACTAAACTTCCAGACTGAACTCTGCATAAGCAGAGGGCAAAGAAGGACGGACAGAAAAAGCAGGGCAGAAGACTTCTGCAGGAATAGGCGCACTTTTTAATTTATTTTTTTTTAAATAAAAAGCAAAAGCTCCTTTCCCCAGCGCTCAACTAAACGTGGGTCTGCTCCAGGCTCTGTTTCAAAGCACAACTCTTCCAACCTGCTTCCCAGCACACAGCAGCCACGGCATTAGCTGACCCACAGGGAGACCTCCACCCTGGAGCAACAGCATCTCACGGCGGGGTCTGAACCACACTGGCTCTAGGCACTCAGATCAACACCTTGAACTTCAGCCAGCAGCAAGCTGTACGGCAAGCAGGAAAACTGGTTTACTGGGATTCCTGCAGGCAGGTAAAGGAACCACTGCCAACCGTGCCTGGTGTGGCTTCCACGGTCACCTCTGTGCAGAGGGATGGAGCAAAAAAGGCAACACGAAGTGGGTCGGACAAGTCAGACCGAGCCTGGTAAACTCTTTCCTTCCTTCGTGGCTGCAGGAGGCTCCCACAGTGTCCCCTCCGAGATCCAAGGAAGGGCTGGTGTCCCCAGCAGCCAGGCTACCTTGAGCAGCAGAGAAAGCCTTGTCCTTACACACATGTAGGTGTGCAGAACGGAGCAAGGGTGAAAATCTGGCACAAAACTAGGCTAAAGAAGGGGTGCTCGGCCTCAACTTCAAGTCTTCCTCTTATCTATCTCCTCTTTTCCACCTCGTGCTGAGTGAGAAAGCAGCTTCACGGTATGAAGGAGTGATGTAACCTCAGTATCCCAACAGCACATCCTCCACTCCGCAGGTCACACACTCTGGGGAGGAGAGGGGTGTTGTGCTCACACTGCCGTTGGAGAATTCTAGTTGCAAACTCATCACCCTTCCAGATACGAAGGCACTAAAATACGACAAAGCCTCCTCCAAACAGCAGTATTAAAAAAAAATGAAGAAAGAGGGACCACCACCATGATGAGCCCCTGCGCAGAAACGTCACGTCACGTCCCAGCCCCAGCCCAGCAGCCATCTCAACTGTGTGTTCTTTAATTCCTCCCAGGGAACGAGGTCCACGAGAAGCATCTCTCCTCCAGATCGCTGGTTTTTATTCCATACCACATGGGCAGGTGGATGCACTGCCAAAGCCGCAGGAGGAGGCACCTGATGCCAGATAACCAAGTGTTACAACACAGGTTTTAAAGACCGTGCTCTGCAGAGCCTGGCTGTTCTCAAAGTCATCTCTCCTTCCCTCTGCACTTCCATCCTTCAGCCTAGTGGAAGGGACAACACTCCACCAAGAGATCTGCATCATCGTCATGTTTCTTCTGCATTTCTGGAGCTCGTACGGACACAGAGCCCCAAAACATTACTCTGGGTTCAGGAGTATAGTACAGACCCAAAGCCAACCCTTCATGGAGGAGTTCCCAGGATGGAGCAGCTGGTGGCCTTGGCAGACCTGCTCCGCCCTGGAAAAGCTGCGAGAGTCGGCTGGAAGGTGCTTCTGAGCCCAGCGAGCTTCAGGTTCTTCTTCAGAACTGATAAGGTATTGAAGGCACCTATGTAAACACCGGGAAGCACAGAGCACACAAGGTCTCAGATCGCCCTCAGGCTGCTGGAGCCCATGTAGCACTAACAGAAAAGCACCCTTGTGCTCCATCCTCAGGTCCTGGCTGCTGAGAACCTCCTTCTTGGAAGGTGCTTGCTTGTGTCATCGTGGAGCCTAGGTCCTGCCTGATCACGTCTCCTGCCCGCACTGGAGAAAAGGAGTTGCAGGGTCTGGGGCAGGACCACCTGCCAAAAGATGGACACTGCAAAGTGAGAATTGGTGTGACGGACCTAATGGTTTAAAGATGAGAGGGACTAACTGAAGGAGGGACCCAAAAAAGCAGCGTGTCTTCAGAGAATTTACACAGACATGTGCTCTAAAACTGTGGATGTCGTGGATGTCCTTGAATGACAAAGGCAACCCCTTACTGGGCACCTTAGAAACACATTCCTCTACGCTCACCCCAAACCCACCTAAACAACTGGTGTAGCTGCCTCGGGATGCCCAGACACAACGGCCACAAGCCAGTGGCCACCGCCG